TGGTAACGGATTTTTCAATTTTTTAATTTTTAGATCGGATTGTGAAATTCGGGCTTGTTAGGGCTCGTCTGAACTAAGAATTGAGTTCCGTTTTTCCCTACATGTCGCCAATGAAACCTTCTACATATTTATGCTGTCGAATCTAATTTATTCTTGAAAACCTATTCTCTCAAAGCTCTTGACCTGAAGTTGGCAGCTTCCGTGCACGACTTCGCATATCGGGCCTGTTCGGACTAGACCGAACTCGAAATTGAGTTTCGATTCTTCCTACATGTCGCCAACGAATCATACTATTGGAAAATACTTTCTTGACCAATTTTCGGGCTGGAACTATGCCTTGCGGGGTTTTCTTCCAAAAATAGGGGAAAAGAATTAAAAAAAAAAAGAAAAAAAACTAGCAAAATTTGGGCTCGTTTGGGCTCGTCCGAACTCGAAATTGAATTCCGTTTTTTCCTACATGTCGACAACGAAGCTTTCTATATAATTATGCTTTCAAATCCAACCTATTCATGAAAACCTATTATCCCAAAGCTCTTGACCTGAAGTTGGCGGCTTTCTTGCACGACTTCGCATATCGGGACCGTTAGGACTCGTCCGAACTCAAAATTGAGTATCGATTCTTTCTACATGTCGCCAACGAATCCTACTACTAGAGCATGCTTTTTTGACCAATTTTCGGGCTGGAACTATTGCTTACGGGGCTTCCGGCCTAAAAAGAGGGAAAAGAATAAAAAAAGAAGAAGACTAGCAAAAGGCATGCTCGTCTGGGCTCGTCCAAACTCGAAATTGAATTTCGTTTTTTACTACATGTCGCCAATGAAGCCTTCTATGTAATTATGCTTTCAAATCCAACCTATTCTTGAAAACCTATTATCTCAAAGCTCTTGACCTGAAGTTGGCAGCTTCCTTGCACGACTTCGCATATCGAGACCGTTCGGACTTGTCCGAACTCGAAATTGAGTTTCGATTCTTCCTACTTGTCGCCAACGAATCCCACTACTTGAGCATGCTTTTAGGGAAATTTTTTGGGCTGAAAATATTTTTTGCGGTGTTTCCGACCTAAAACGGTGGAAAACAAGAAGAAAAACGAAAAAAACTAGCAAAAATGTACTACATTGAATTCAATTGGACTAATTCGAGTTCGATTACACCATAATTGACCGGGATTTTACTAATTTGACTTTAATTAGACTAATTCGAGTTTTATTACACCATAATTGCCCGAGATTGTACTAATTGACTTTATATTGGACAAATTCGAGTTCGACTACACCATAATTATTTCGGTTGTACTAATTTGACTTTGATTATAGTAAATTGACTCCGATTGTACTAATTTGACTTTGATTGGACTAATTCAATTTTGATTATAGTAATTTAACTTTGATTGGACTAATTTGACTTCGATTGGACTAATTTGATTTCGATTATACTAATTTGACTTCGATTATAGTAATTTGACTTCGATTGGACTAATTCGAGTTTGATTGGACTAATTTGACTTCGATCGTACTAATTTGACTTCGATTGTACTAATTTGACTTCGATTTGACTAATTTGACTTCGATTGTACTAATTTGATTTCGATTGGACTAATTCGAGTTTGATTGGACTAATTTGACTTCGATTATAGTAGTTTGACTTTGATTGAACTAATTCTAGTTCGATTACACTATGATTGACCGTGATTGGACTAATTCGAGTTCGATTATACTAATTTGACTTCGATTGGACGAATTTGACTTCGATTGGGCTGGAACTATTAGAGAATGCTTTTTCTGACCAGTTTTTGGGCTGGAACTATTCCTTGCGGGACTTCCGGCTTGAAGTTTGCGGCTTTCTTGCACGACTTGTCCAAACTCGAAATTGAGTTTCAATTCTTCCTACATGTCGCCAACGAATCCTACTACTTTAGCATGCTTTTACGACAAATTTTTGTGTTGATCTATTGCGGGGCTTCCGACCTAAAACGGGGGAAAACAAAAAGAAAAACAAAAAAAAACTAGCAAAATTGTACTAATTTGACTTCGATTGGACTAATTCTAGTTCGATTACACCATAATTGACCGTGATTGGACTAATTCGAGTTTGATTATACTAATTTGACTTTGATTGGACTAATTTGAGTTCGATTGCAGCATAATTGACCGTGATTGTACCAATCACCTGTCAATTATAGTGTAATAGAACTCGAATTAGTCCAATTGAACTCAAATTAGTACAATTTTGCTATTTTTTTTGTTTTTCCTTTTGTTTTCCCCCGTTTTAGGTCGGAAGCCCCGCAATAGATCAGTCCAAAAATTTGCCGTAAAAGCATGCTAAAGTAGTAGGATTCGTTGGCGACATGTAGGAAGAATTGAAACTCAATTTCGAGTTTGGACAAGTCGTGCAAGAAAGCCGCAAACTTCAAGCCGGAAGCCCCGCAAGGAATAGTTCCAGCCCAAAAACTGGTCAGAAAAGATTCTCTAGTAGTAGGATTCTTTGGCGACATGTAGAAGAATCAAAACTCAATTTCGAGTTCGAACGAGTCCTCACGGTCCCGATATGCGAAGTCGTGCAAGAAAGCCGCCAACTTCAGGTCAAGAGCTTTGAGATAATATGTTTTAAAGAATAAGTTGGATTTGAAAGCATAATTACATAGAAGGCTTCATTGGCGACATGTAGGAAAAAACGGAATTCAAATTCGAGTTCGGACGAGCCCAAACGAGCCTGAATTTTGCTAGTCTTTTTCATTATTTATTCTTTTCCCCCGTTTTAGACCGGAAGCCCCGCAAGGAATAGTTCCAGCCATAAAATTGGTCAGAAAAGCATTCTCTAGTAGTAGGATTCGTTGGCGACATGTAGAAAGAATTGAAACTCAATTTCGAGTTCGAACGAGTCCTAACGGTCCCGATATGCGAAATCGTGCAAGAAAGCCGCCAACTTCTGGTCAAGAGCTTTAGGATAATAGGTTTTCATAAATAGGTTGGATTTGAAAGCATAATTATACATAAGGCTTTGTTGGCGATATGTACGAAAAGAAATGAAATTCAATTCGAGTTCGGACGAGCCCAAACGAGCCTGAATTTTGCTAGTTTTCTCCGTTTTATTTATTCTTTTTTCCCGTTTTTGGCCGGAAGCCCCGCAAGAAATAGTTCCAGCCCGCAAATTGGTCATAAAAACATGTTCTAGTAGTAGGATTCGTTGGCTATATGTACGAAGAATCGAAACTCAATTTCGAGTTTGGATGAGTCCGAACGGGCTCAATTCCGAGTTCGGACGAACCCTAACGAGCCCAAATTTCACAATCCAATCTAAAAATAAAAATAAAAAATTAAAGAACGGAATTTAAAAATCCGTTTTTAAAAAAAAAAAACCAAAACGGATTTTAGAAATCCGTTTAAGAAAAACGGATTTTGGAAATCCGTTTTTTAAGAAAAACGGATTTCCAAAATCCGTCCGTTTGATTCTTGTCCACAATAATTTTTTTTCTTTTATTTTTTGGCACATATTTTTTATTTTTTAAATTAAATAAGCTACTCGGGTGTAAGGGTGCGTTTGACTATAAATTAATCTAATTTATAAAACTAGTGTGTATCCCGTGCGATGCACGGATATATAAATTTGGAGAATATTATAATTTGACATGCATTAGAATATATGAGAGTTTAATACATACCAACATTATTCATCATAAAATGTTCGTCACTAAAAAATCTTATATTATTAAAAACCTCTTTGTATACAACATATGAGTTTGATTATTGTGTAACTCGTTGTGAGGAGCACAGGCCGACTCGGGCCAGACGCGGGCTGCACAAAGAGTTGCCAAAATTAGGCCTCACTCAACTGGGCTCCCTTGTTGGGCTTCTATCATGGGCTGCAAATGCTGATTGTTGTCGCCAAAAAATTGCCCCAACGCTTGGACAATTTTTCTAATTTCCAACTGTATTATAAATTATATTTTATTTCAAGTTTAACTTTTACATTCCTATTTTATGAAGATAGTTATTTTACATTCCTATATATACTAATAAAGTATATTTTTTAGTTTGAATCATGTAACTTCCTTAATAGTGAGTTGAATAATTTATAGATAGAAACATAACTTAATGATTCTCTCTAATTTCTCTCCCTCCCCCTTTTTCATATTTCATAGTATTTCACAAATTTTTCCAAATAAAACAAATAATTACATACAACAATTATTAGGTTGACCATCAAATAAATCAAAATAAGACTGTAAATAAACGTAAAATTTTCCTTAATAATTTCTATATTGTTTTGAAAATAATTATTACAATGTTTCAGGTTCGACACAAAATTGGTTTGTTTGTTCTTTATTAATTGTTTATGAATAGGCTATCTATCTTAATTTTTGTTCAAAGTTGGTTTATTTTTTATTTTTATCATCAAATATATCATGTTAGTCATCATTGGATATAAGCTCATAGGATTTGATGATAAATATGTATTTAGATTTTAACATGTGCAATATAAATGTAAAAAATACAGAGAAATAATAACGCTAAATTTAATTTATTGGACATGTACACAACAATTAGAAAAATGTGATTTTCTAAATTAAATTTTCAGGATAAATGCATTGCTAAATCATAAATTTCCGCAAGCAAGGAGCTTGCTCTAATATATTGTTGACATCAAAATCGGCTCACGTGTCAGGCGAACGACACGTGGATCGCGAGGGAGGGCTGGAATCACGTCCCAGCCGAAGAGGGGGAAACGAGTTAATTGAGTTGGTAGAACCGACTTGTCCTCCGCCGAGACCTCGGAAAATGCCATCTCGGGAAAACCCGACCACAAAAGAGCTTATACAAGTCGTCTGCGCCAGCATTAAATGCCAGTCAAGTCGGCCGACGTATCGCACGTGGGGACATCATTACGCGTAGGGGCCCACTGACAGAAAAGCTGCGTTAGTGTCATTCTGCATTAAATGCCGCCGAATCCCCTCAAAAGACGAGCCCGTAAGTTACTATAAATAGCAGCAATAAAGGCAATACGAGGATCTTTTTGGGACACATTAAATCCCGCATTTATCACCTCGGTTTTTTGCCCATTCTTGAACGTTATTGTACTACTAAAAAAAACGACCTCAAGTCCGAATAACCGACTTGAATCAGATACAAAATATTCCACATTTAATCAATAAAATCGCATCATTTCCACTTGAATTCGAGAATTTAACATTAGAAAAGGTTGATCAAATCCGTTTATCAACAGTTTGGCGCTAGAGGAAGGGCCTCATAAGATATTTTGAGGTCAATCTTTGAATCCAGCATCCACCTTTGAAACCGCTGACTCGGAAGCACACAACAATGGCACAGTCAGGACAAGATGATCAAACTACTAGGGGAGAGGACAGTCGCGGCTTGATCCCTTCTACTGGTAGAGCCAACACGGCAATGATACCAGACCTGGCAACACTCATGCAAAACCCTGAATTCGCAAAAGGCTTCTCGACGCTACTAGCCCAAACGATGCCAGAAACCTCGAGAATCGTGCTGGGTCAATCACTTGCGCCCATAACCCCGGCCAGACCGGCGGCACCACCGTTGCAACAGGGCGTGAACAACCAAACGCGCTCACACGCGACGTCCCAGCCAAGGGACGCCGCCACCCAGCGACCTCCTGCCCAGACGGTGAACCCCCAAGAACAGAATCTGCAGGAGATGACGGCAGAAAGCGAGTCTGGGCATGCTCGGAGGGAAACCGCCGTCGCTAGATCCTTGTTCAGGGCGGCGGGAAACCCAACCGACCTCCGACACCAAATAGTGCGGGGCCGAACGGCTAGACACGACAACCCCGAGATGGAAGCCTTGAGGAGGAGGGTCGCCGAACTCGAAATCTTACAGAACCGAAGGGCGAGGTCACCTCCCAACCAGCACAGTCAAGAGACAGGCCACGTGTACGTAGAGACAGACTCTCTACTATCCCCCGAGCTGACTTCAGAGCCACTAACCGGGAAAATTAAAGTCCCACAAATCGGCCTGTACGACGGAACGTCGGACCCGGACGCACACCTCGGGCATTATACCTCATGGATGGACCTGCACGGGGCCACCGACGCCCTCAGGTGTCGTATGTTCTCCCTGACTCTGGGACCAAAGGCACAGAAGTGGTATTACTCGTTGCCTGCGCAATCTATCCGACGCTGGGTTCAACTCAGGTCGGCGTTCCGCTCCCATTTCATCGGGGCGCAGGTTTGCCTGATCCCAAAGGAGTCGATCACGAATATCGTCCAAAAGGACGACGAGAGCTTGAAGGAATATGTTGCCCGTTTCAACGAGCGTGTGCAAAACATGGAACCATGCCATCCTGAAACACTCTTAGTGAGCGCCATTTCAGGACTGAAGCCGAAGTCAATGTTCAGGTGGGCACTTTGCCAAAACAAGCCCAATACATTCCAGGAATTCTTGGTCCGGGCACAGAACCACGTGATTGCCGAGGAAAGTATGTCGGTCCCGGACTTTACGTTCACATCCCCGGGACAAAAACCGACGTCGGAGAAGAAGAAGAAATCCTTTAGCAACACACACAAGAAGACCTCCTCCACAGACCCGCGGTGGGGGGATCCGAACGACCCCGAGGTGCGGGCAGCTCGGAAACAGTACCGAGAAGACTGGAAAGAAGGATATCGATCTATCTACTCGGTCGGAGCAGCCGCCATCTACGAGGAAATAAAGGGAAAGGGAAACATTCCCGATGCCCGACCAGTCAAAACCCCGGAGAGCCAACTCGACAAGGGCCGTTACTGCGACTACCACAGGTCGCCGGGTCACAATACAGACGAGTGCTTGAGCTTGTTGTCGGCTCTGATGAAGCTCATCGGTAATCCCCAAGTGAGGAAATTCACCATGGCTGGAGATAATAAGGGGAAACGGAGAACGCAGGAAATCCCCGATGATGACGAAGGAGATGAAAGGGGATCGACTTTCAAGAGGCTTCGAGCCCAGGGAGATAAAGAAATTTTTGTGATCGGACCAACGGACGTCGGTTCACCCCAAGACCAACTCAGGAAGAGGGGCCGAGAGGCCGACATCCAGCCGCGGCCCAGCCAGACGCCTCCAACCTCGGGACGGTCAAGTCCCATTCCCCGAGTTAACACCAATCGAGATACACCGACGTCTTCCCGAAGGCAGGCCAAGGCATATGCGCGAAAGGCCTACAACTCGGGGAAGCAAGTAATGACCTCGGATATCAGAGAAACGATCAATGCCCGCACCTGCCCGATCACTTTCACGTTGGAGGACGCAAGTTTATTCGATCACCCACACTCGGAAGCACTAATAATTACGGCCCCCATCTGTGGCATTCCTGTCCATCGGATCATGGTGGACACTGGGGCCTACACGAGCATCCTCATGCTCAAGGCGTTTAACAAACTCGGGATAGATCCTGCCGAAGTCCGCTCCTGCAATGATCGTGTCCACGGTTTCAATGGGAGCATAGCGCTCCCGTTAGGAGAGATCACGCTCCCCATCAGGTTCGGCGGGCACGGGCAAACGTCCAAAGTCATTATGGAAACTTTCAAAGTGATGGACCTCGACAATGAGTACAATGCGATTATCGGGAGGACGGCGTTGTACAAACTTCGAGCTGCAGTTTCCATTTTCCACTACGCTATAAAGTTCCCCACGGCGGACGGAGAGGGAACCCACTACGGGGAACAAAGGGAAGCGAGGGAACTGTTCCTGGAAATACCGTCTCGGGAAATCCACATGGTGGGAGAAGCCGACGCCGCAGAAGACGATAACCAAGGGCATGGGGGTAGCAAGCAACCACCAACCGCAGAAGAGGAAGAGACAAAACTCGGGATCGGGGGAGGCGACCTGGGAAAGAACCAGCCAAAGAAGACGATATCCTCGATCCCCGAGATCAGTTCAAGGAGAAGAAGTCGGGGAACAGAGCTGAGCCTTCGGAGGAGGTGGAGATAATCGATGTCGGCGGGCCGACCTGCCCTAAACAGCTCCGAATAGGAGCATGCTTTCCCGAACCACTCAGAACTGAACTAATACAATTCCTCCGAGCAAACGCCGACGTCTTCGCCTGGAAGCATGAAGATATGAAGGGGATCGACCCAAAAGTTGCGTGCCACCGGCTCAACATCGATAAGACGGTGAAGCCGGTCATCCAGAAGAGGAGGAAGATCGGTCCTGACCGATAACAAGCCCTTGAGAAGGAAGTGAGCAAGCTGGTCGACAACAAATTCATCAAGGAAACCATATACCCGACTTGGGTGTCCAACCCTGTCCTAGTCAAAAAAGCAAACGGAGCGTGGCGACTGCGCATAGACTTCTCTGACCTCAACAAAGCTTGCCCGAAGGATAGCTACCCTCTGCCACACATTGACTACATGGTCGACGCAGCCTCGGGCCATGAACTCATGAGTTTCATGGACGCCTACTCAGGCTACAACCAGATTCCTATGGACCCGGAGGAAGCGGAGCACACCTCATTCTACTCGGCTCGGGGACTATATTGCTATACGATGATGCCCTTCGGGTTGAAGAACGCTGGGGCCACCTACCAGCGGTTAGTCAATAAGATGTTTTCTCGATTGATAGGACAAACTATGGAGGTCTATGTTGATGACATGTTAGTGAAGTCGGTCGTGGCGAATGATCATGTAACCCATTTGAATGAAATGTTTAAAATTTTACGCGATTACTCGATGGTGTGGAATCCGAAAAAATGCACCTTTGGGGTGAAGTCAGGAAAATTCCTGGGCTACATGGTCAGCCAAAGAGGGATCGAGACAAACCCAACAAAGATCCGAGCAATACTCGATCTCAAACCCCCCACCTCGGTGAAAGGAGTACAGGGTTTGACCGGGAGGTTGGCGGCCCTGAACCGATTCATTTCAAAGTCGACTGACCGCTGTAAGCCATTCTTTGATGCCATCAAAAAAGGAAAGAAGTTCGAATGGACCGACGAGTGTCAGAAAGCCCTCGAAAATATCAAAGATACGCTGAGCCGACCTCCGGTCTTACAGAAACCGAAGCCCGACGAAATGTTATATTTGTACCTCGGGGTCAGCACCTCGGCTGTCAGCATGGTACTCATAAGAGAGGAAGAAACGTGCCAATAACCGATCTACTACGTAAGCAAGGCGTTGCATGATTCCGAGCTCAGATATCCCCCGATGGAAAAGTTGGCGTACGCGCTCGTCATAGCGGCGAGGAAACTCCGACCCTACTTCCAAGAGCACTCGGTAATCGTCCTGACGGCCCATCCGTTGAGGAAAATCCTGCACAGGCCAGACACGTCTGGGAGGATGATTAAATGGGCCGTGGAGTTGGGACAGTTCGATATACATTACAAACCCCGCATGGCCATCAAAGGACAAGTGTTTTCGGACTTCATCGCCGAGTTCACCCCCGCAATCCGAGAGAGGACGGATACCCGGCCATGGGTGATGTACGTCGACGGGTCGTCCACAGCAACTCGGGCAGTAGGGGGTGTAGTCCTAATCGACCCGGAGCAACGGGTGTATTGTCACTCGGTTCGGTTTCTTTTTCCAGCCACCAACAATGAAGCCGAATATGAGGCCTTGATATCCGGCTTG